GGTCAGGGGTGCAGCAGGGACGGCGGTGGCACCCAGCACGGCGACGGCGGAAACTACACCCGGTTCTACAGGCTCCTCAACATGTAGAAGGCGGGCGGGCGGCGGTGGCTAGGCGTAGTCGTTTTTAGTTTGTACTTTTAAGTTTTTTTGTACAAATATCAACGAAATCGCCTAATGTGGACGAAATTGCGTCGTGTTTGGCCGATTTTTATGTTTCAAAAAACGGCGTCTGGGGACGACCTGGATGCGGCGGCTGGGAACCCAGTCACCCCCCACACTGAAATTATCGCCGGTTCGCCTTTAGGCGGCACTATCTCAAGCCCTGGAGGCCGAATGGCCGGAGATGCTCTTAACTCCATATAGTATAGAGAGAGAGAGGCATGAGGGATACTACTTGAGGTGCAGGCCCTTGGATTAGGGCAGCACATATGGAAGCAAATTGGCGGCTTGTGCCCGCTAATCATGCAAATCAGGGGAGAGTGTAGTATATAACCGAATTGCTGCTTCCTGTCCGAGAACATAAAATCCCTCGTGAATAAATAATGGCCGCGATTGCAGACGGGGCCAGTGCAAAAGTGCGGCATGTATATACTCTGCGCACTTTTCGATCAGCCTGACAGGCACGCATCTCAATGTGTAAGTAAAGGAAAAGATATGTAGTCCCAAAAATTTTACCATAGATTAGATTCATATATAAAATATATTTTGTGACTTCAATATTACAACATTCAAAACTTCTTTCAAATAAGAATTTATTGATACAATTGCTGCCACATATAACCCATATTTGTCTGGTCTAATTTAAAATGCATGGAAAATGCCCATTGGCTCTCGGTGTATGTGCACCTGATGTGGAAACTAACTAGTAATTACAAAAAAAGTTAAAAAAATCTGAAACTTTTTGAAAACAAATTTGGCCTTCTATTGTACTCGTTAAAAAGTTTCGCGAAGGAAAAACTCCCGCCGACTTCAGCTCAAAAAAGATCAAGGGCAAAAGTTATGAATAGTAATTTTATATATTGTTGATTTTTTTTCACTCGGAGTGCCGTGAAAGTTAATCCTTGGTGAAATTTTTTATATGAGTACAACAGAAGGTGAAGTTTGTTAAAATATATATTTTTTAATTATTTTTTAATTATCAAAAAAATTATATCTGGTGCCTATAGACTTGAAAGCAAAACGTGCCATTACTTAGTTTGTAGTCTTGAGAAGAAGTTTTCTAGTTAGTCCCGACGAGCGATCTTTCGATCTTCTTAATCACTAAGCTCCCTAGGGCTAAATCAGTTGAGAATCGATTAACGCCAACCAATTTCGCTAGATGCTCTTGATTTTGACCGGGTCATCGCTAGGATTGGAGAGCCGTCGTCGCTCCGGGTTTTGGTGGTCTGGTGGGAAGGGGTTGTGTGTCAGCCGACGGTCGATTGGGTTCCACAGGCCTGCCCTCCTTCCTTCAACCCTTCTCCCAGCCAGCAGCCACCACCGCCCCTCCTCTCGTCCAGGTCCTCTCCTCCCATTGCTGCTCTAGCCGCAACCTTTTTTTCAATTTCAGAAAAAGGTGAGAGGCCATTTATAATAGCATTATTAAAGAAGTCCGAGACTTATAAAATCACCACCGGTAAAGTTGAAAATTATGGGCATGTCGAATAGAGATGGGTGACTTCTCTTACCCGCAAAACCCGAAGGCCCGACGTGAGCTTAGCTCAATTTCACACCTTTTCTGCATAGCCGGAGCCAATATAAGCACCGAGACCAATCACCGAAGGCGACAGAGGCGGATGGATTCAACTACAGGACATACCTTCTTCGAAAATGCATTGAGACCCCTAGAGACTGCTAGGATTTCAAGTCATTTGTTATTGGGATTTTTATGTTTGCAATGAGCTATAATAAGAAATAAATATTACATGCATTGAGATAATAAAAATAGCAACCCTAAAAAAAGAGATAATAAAAATAGCAGATTGCAATTTCTTTTGCAGCATAAACATCAACAATCATAAAATAAATACTAGCAGAAGATTGTACTCCCTTCGTCCCATAATGTAAGACGTTTTTGGCGCTCTTACATTATGGGACGGAGGGAGTAGTTTTGAGGAGCAATCTTCTAATTAATGCAGATGAAGATTCAATGCTCAATTTTCGTGTTGAGGAGCCAATATTTTAGCATCATTTTAAATATATCTTCAAATAGTTGGTTGCCTGGTGTGACATGTGAATGGATATTATTTTGGCAAGTGAAACAAAAGATACGAGAGCTGTGACGCAGACATG